TGAGAGTATCGATTAATTCGGAGCCTATACGCTTATCAAGCAGCGAGTTGATCGATAGCTTGAGAAGGGCTGATAGCCCGCTGAATGAATGATTACACGTGGGAGAAAGGTCTGGCAGAGTGAAGGCAGGATGAATCACGAGCAGTTTGCTCTGGACGGCAGACTCCCACAAGTATATAAGGCGGAGTCCACGTCTCAGCGCACCTTCCTCACTATAAACAATATGACGCATTTGAAGTCATCATGGTGCGGTAAAAGCCAATGGCTTGGAAAGTTGCCAACTGGCAGGATAACAGGGACCGCGCGGTCAGTCCAGTGCGTTTGTTTTGTGAATTGGCTGGCTGGCGGACTGAGAGTCAGGCGACAATGGCTTCTTCTTCTTAATGTGGCCTTTATGGCAGTTCACTCAGCTGGGCTCCGGGCCGCCCTCGTACATGGTTTTAGTTTTGTGCTTGTATTGACCCACAGTGCGTAGGCTTGCGCCCTCTCCCATCTCCAGCCTTCTTAAATTCGTCTTTACCTCGGACCCCGGGGAGGTGGGGAGTGGGCAGAGTGTGAAGTAGATGCAGCGCAAGTTTACTTTCACTTTCACCTTATCCGCTACTGCTCCCTGACTATGTCTCTGATGACGAATCCGTGACGGATCTCAAAACATCAGCACCGTAAATCTACGGGGCTTTCTGAATTAATATTGTCTAGTCTTAAAACTCTCTTATATATAAACGTTTTTTAAACAAAATATACGCCTTTTCAATTCTGAAATGAAAAGGAAATTCAACTTGCTACCGAAGGAGTATAGTGTTACATATTTTCTTTCCTGTTTTTGAATTTACAGGACTATCCGAAATAACTGTGAAAATATGTATCGTATCTAAATAATCTAGTTTTGCTAGCCAACAGAAGGAAATGCATTGGAAAGCTGGCATTTTGCATGACTCGATGTCTTAGAAATTTGCTGAAGGGTGATCTTTACTACAATCGTTCCTAAGAACTCCTTTCTAATAGGGAACAGATTACAGAATTTTGGTTGATGATTCAAAAGGTAGGCAATCTATTGTACTACGAGACGATACCTTATGGATTGCAAACTTTCATGACATGTCAAATAACATAACTACGAGTAAGCCTCTTAGCGTTTCCTCGAATTTCAATGTAAACTAAATGCTTAGACTATATACCCCTGAGTATGATAATACAATTATCTTTGTCATCTTTGTCAGAAAACAGGTTTTTTGATAGCATTTCGAAGCATTCTTGTGAGAAATCTTCACAATACCACTGCACAGAAATTCCTTGCACTGCTCAAATCGCCAAGCTGACGTTTTATTATGCCTCTATTTTACAGCGTCGAAGCGTGAAATCAAAGAATAAGCTGAGCTCCAAGGTTCCTCATCTTTTTCCTCCAAAAAGTTAAAAAAGAAGTACAGGATGCAAAGTGACGTACCGCTGCAGAAGGCAGAGCCCGCAGCGGTCACATATAGATTACAGTTCAGATAAGCGGCCAACTCAAGCACCCTTCCAGGGCCAGTGTACTCGAGATTTTGAGGTAACCTTTTGGACTACCTTAGAATTGCACGCCTGGCCTTGAAAGTTCAATTTGTCGATTTACTCTGGCGCGATTTGCGTAAATAATGCTCCGCTTAATTACATTATTGCATGAGCCTATTGTGTTTTACTGTTAAAAGTTCTGGGTTTTAGCGGATTATATTTGATCAGAAAATTGACAGTGCCCTTCATTTTCGTATATGAACGGTCTAGAAAGACTTACAAAATCGAATAATGGAAACACTAGAACTGAGGGAATATGATATTTTTTTGTCAACGCAGAGACATTTTGCTGTATGTGCATTAGCTGCTCTACAACACATAGCTCCGACTTGTTTTCCTTTTCAGCACTGCGCCCATCCCATCTCAGGCGACCGACAGCTAGGCGGTGGCCTGTTGCTGGCGGTGAGAGAGAGAGAGTGAGGTCGAGCCTCAGCGCATTTCTTTCCTTACTATAAGTCATCTGATGTGCTTGAAACTATCGCGGTGCGCTAAAAGCCTTGACTTGGAGGGCTGCCAACTGACAGGATAACATGGACACCGCAGTCGGCCCAGTGTGTATCGTGTTGTGTGGAGTGGCTGTCTGCGGACAGGGAGTCAGACTCAATGGCTCCTTCTTAAAGTTGCTTTTATGGCGCTCCCAGGCGGGAGCCTAGCCAGCGAGATGTTCTGTTGGTACGCGTGTTGAGTGTTGGTTGCGCTAGCTGCCTGCGCCCTCCCCCACCTCCGGTCTTCTCGAGTTTTGCCTTGACATCTGGTCCGGTGTGGGATTGGTAAGAGAATGGGGTAGATTCTACGGGAGTCTACTTTCGCTGTCTATCTTGCGGGAGTCTCCCCGTCGCTCCATCCTGTTGAAGCTCGTGGTGGACATCGTCGAAATCGAGGGTCGAATTGTAGGAACCAAGCGTACGTTTAAGAGATCTCCCAAACTGCAAAAGAATTCAGATCTAACTAATTTTGGCATCACTGTTTTTCAACTTCTGCATACTGTTGTTCTCCTTTTCGAGTGCTTGTTAAATTCTGCGATTGAAAACATCCAGATCTACTTGGTCATTGAAAAAACTTGAAAAACGTGCATTTTAACCAGAAATTGAGTCTGAGAAAAGTCTACTTGTCTCTATAAATTTTCCAATGCAAAGCCAGACTGCAAATCCATGTTTATTTATATCATATTGCACACTTATCGGTGCAGAAACTGATTAAATTGTATAACTGTCGCTTTTCTTCCTCCATTTTGAATTTTTTCCGCAGACCCTGGATTGTGATTTTTGTGGTTAGAATGCTGCTTACCTAGGCTCCCCTTAGCACTTACCATGTGGAGCATTTTTCAAGGAAATAGTGTTATAATATATCTCAGCAAATGAAAAGTAACTTTCAGTTGCCCTATGTATGCCTTGCCATCGCTGTTTTTGATTATTCTATATCTTATTATACAATATTGATTTTTTTTCTTTGCAGATAAAATGATTCACAGTTTACCTTCTGATGTCCACTTGTTGGTGTTACGTTATTCGGCATTTTAATTTTGCACCCCAAAATTACTCATTAGGAAAGTGTTCCTGTGAAAGTTTGTCATCGTTTAATGAAGTTAAACAAATATCAGGCACTATTTAAAGTGACGCCTTTTTCATGGGGATCAAAGGCATGAAAACATATGAGATTGGCCTAAACTTTTCTCGAGTTCTGGCAGCGGGGCTAACTGCCGCACTGTCTGTTGCCCTTAACTACGATCCTATGCAATGTGAACCAAAATTTTTAAATGCGGTTTGGATCAAAACTGATGACTTAAGTGGAATTGAAATATTTATTATCATGGAGCAAATTCCATAAAAACTTCAGACACACTAAGATGTCTGTTTTTGAAAGAACTATTTCGACCTTCTGAAGGAAATTTATCCGATAGAAATGGAGTAATTACTTATTGGGAATTATATCTGTGGATTTTTGATGTCCCTACAATTTAACATATATTTATAAAAACAAATTGCTTTTCTCATGCACCCAGTTATTAGCAGTTCACAGCCTCTTCTAATTCTATTTTTAAGGAAGGTGTACACTTAGGTTTAAAGGATCTTCTCCAAATAAGTCTGAGCCCAATCTACCGCTGTATTTTAGATTAGATTCTTCAGCCTAAAAGCTTTATGCCTTCCATGGAAGGAATAATTTGCATTAAAGTATGCAATTACTAGAGTAGCATAGAGTGATAATGTAATTTTGTGATGGATGTGGACTACATCGAATACTTCATGAAAGGCATCAATAAATGGACAGGAAATATGCGGTATGAATAGACGGGTAAG